TGCTACCCCCTGAGCAGGGGATCTGGACGGTTCCTCCCGGGTTGGCTAACACCGAGGCCGGCTGAGTCAGCGCTGCCTGGACCAGGGAACCTGGAGAGGAGAGAGAGAGTGGAAGAGGAGGGTCAGCCAGTGCCCCAGGAGCACAGACCTCCCCTGGGCTGGTGGCACAGCAGGATGGAACCTCTGTGCCCAAAAGCCCCATGTGGGCGCAGCAAGTCTACCCAAGGTACCTGAGCTGTGGATGAGCACCACAAGGAGGAGAGGGGCCCAGGCCATGGTGTGATCCCACCAGATCTATGTCCTCATGAAAATTTGGCTCTTTTGTGGACCTCCAACTCTGTTCTAAGCACCCAGCCTCTTAGGTCACGGTCCCTCCAGGCAAATGTTTCCCCAAGCTCATGGCCAGATCCTGCCTTGTCTGCCCAGCACACAGAGGGGCTGGGGCAGCACCAGCTGCACACAGCTCTGTGCACATGGCACAGGGCAGCACCAATGCTTTTTTTTTTTTTTTTCCCTCAGACTGAGATGTTGGGACAGATCCCCCCATCCATCCTCCCTCCCTTGGATCTAGCTGCAGACTGTTCCCTTGTCCAGACCTTCTTCTGCCCAGTCATGGCCTGTGGTGAGCTGAGAAGCTGGTGCCCAGCCCCAAGCTCTGTCCTTGCCCCTTGGTCAGCAGCATGGTCCCAGGTCTCTGTGATGGGCCGAAGTTTCAGCAGGCTGAACTCCTCTGCGCTGATGCCCAGGAGCAGGGCAGAGACCTCGCTGCCAGAAGATCCTGCCTGAGCACAGCCATATGCCTCTCAATTGTGGACCAGGCCCACTGGGCTGCGCCAGCCTGCCCCCAGCCATGCCAGCTGCCCCATATCCACGGCACAATCTAGGGTTCCTCAGCACACAGCTCCCCCTGCCCAGCCCTTGAATGTCCCTGCGGCACAAGAGCCACTGTCCCAGACCAGCAGTGCCACACTCCCTCCCTGCTGCATGGCTCCAGCTGGAGTCCCCTGACATTTCCATACCAGCTGGACATCCCCGGGCCAGGGAGAAGCCCACCACCAGCCACGGTGCCTCATGGCAGCTCCAGGGCAAGACAAGAGAGGGCTGGGGAGCAGGTGCCAGTGACAAACAGGGGTCCCAGTGCAGCGAGGCACAGGGTTAGGAGCAGGACTGCTGAGGGCTGTCCCCTCCCCAGCATTACAGGGGACAGGAACTAAGCTAGGGCTCTAAGGGCCATCAAGCTGGAACTCCAGGCAGAGCCCTCTGCAGAAGAGGGCAGGTCCACGGTGGGCATCTCCCCCATAATCACAAAGGGGCAGCAGAGACTCCTGAAGGACCCCCGTGATGGCAGGAGGGGTTTGTATCACTTCCCCATGGCTCTGTGTCAGCATTGTAACTGCTGCTGACACAGGTCACATGCAGAACAGCACTGGGTGATGAAAGGGAAAAATAACGCACTTTAGAAACAGCCCGGCATGGCTAAGAGGAATGGGAGATAAAAGCTACACCTTCAACACTTAAGGCCTTGATGGCTCAGGGCGCAATGTCCCCATGAGTTTAACACTGCTGCTGTCCCAGCCACCACAGTAATAGACAGCCTCGTCCTCGGCTTGGACCCCAGCGATGGTCAACGTGCCCGTGGAGCCGGACTTGGACCCGGAGAATCGCGAAGGGATGTGCGAGGGTCGATTGTCATTCCAGTCGATCACCGTCACCGGGGGAAT